GAATAATAATATATTTTGTGTATTATTGTAGTCTAAAGAGCATTTCATGATATATTTCTAGACTATTCAAGTCTAAGAGTGCCTAGACCTAGGCCATTTCATTTCATTTTTGACATTTACAAAGCTCTCCAAATGCCTTTTGACATAGCTGTGGAAGTGAATTGCAAAGTCACTTTCATGCTATAGATATTTTTTCTCAGCCAGTTATATTCTCTTCTCACCTGTGAAGACCCATTCATCCTTGCTGGTCTCTGGTCCACTTTCTCCTCCCTGACCCAGCTCTTTCTATTGTGGCAATAAAGATTAAAAACATATGTGGAAAGCAAAATTTTGAAATAGAATTAAAAACAGTAGTAGTGAAATTGCTGTGGAAATGAACCTCAAAGTTACGTTTATGCTATAGATATTTTCTCTCAGCCAGTTATAATCTCCCCTCACCTGTGAAGACCCTGCATGATCATCCTTGCTGGCCTCTGGTCCACATGTGGCAATAAAGATTAAAAAAATATGTGCAAAGCAATAGTGAGCACAAGTTCTTATCAAGGAGGGGTGGGTTTATTCCTAGCATGAAACTAGCTAGCAAGGTATTTAACATAGGTAACAATAACATTAGTATTCTTGTTAACTAGCTTAACTTGATATATTGGCATCTATTAATTAGTCATCATTTAGCAAACATTATCTACATGCAACAGCATTACTCAACTTACACGGTTTGTTTGGAAGAAACTGTGCAAGGTTTTTTGCTTCTTGCTGGCTGGTTTGCTGAACATAGTTGACACAGCAGCAGCACTGCCCTGCAGCACACGTCTCGTGTGTACGATTGATTCAGAGCACAACACAACAGCTGAATGTGAGACTAGAGCTGCCCAGTCAGTGCAAATATGGACCGCAGGAAATGAATAAGTTATTCATTAACATTTTAATTTATCATTGTTGTAGCGCTAGAGTGATTCTTACATTTTTCAGTTGTATAAATGGTTAGCCCACAAACTGAGTAAAAAAAATGTTTTAACATTTCATCAGCTATGTGTGTCATATGTCTACAGCTTGGCACCTTTTCCTAAAATTTGCCGAATCTCAATAGCAATGCCTAGTCTTGAGTGAGGCTAGCTATCGATTCCAAATCCAGAAAAGAGAAAAACGTCTTAGAGGAAAATTGAGAATTTCATAGTGAGTGGACAGATTTGTTTGCTTTCACCACCAATGCTGCAAAGTACCAAATAATCATATTAGCCCACTGCAGAGTAGCTACTTTGTTGTAAGACATATTAATGGGTGCTCATTTAGACCAATTAGGAATGTTTACAGGCTTATGTAGATTAAATAGGTTGTGTTGCCATCACAATAAGGTACACATATGTATTGCAGCTCCAGACAGATTTTTAGACAGATTTTTTAAATTAATTTTCTTTCTTTCTTTCTTTCTTACAAAAATGGCTTTTTTAATTGTAAAGGTTGCTGACCCCTGACTTAGGATATTACAATATCCAAAATCTAGACCATATCCAGTCTCCCTTCAAGATATCCACATTATTTCTTTATATTGTCCATATAGTATATTTCTTTTTATTTTGGTGTGTGTGTGTGTGTGTGTGTGTGTGTGTGTGTGTGTGCGCGCGCGTGCGCGTGTGCTCAGAGCCTCGGTGTGACCTAGAAATGAATCGTGCTCTCTTAAAGCCAACAGGGTGACTGATGAATCATTAATGAAGTGTGAGAGCAACATGAGACAGACAAGAGGAATCACACGCATCAAAAATTGAATTTCCCCTCAGGGGGATTAATAAAGTATATAAAATTCAATTAAAATATATTTTTAAAAAAACACCTCAGAACAGATGTGATTCAACCTGACTGCAGATCCTCGGAGGAGCCTACTGAGCCACTCTGTCTGGAAGATTTTCAGAGGAAATAACAAGACTTCTGTACATCCAATCAGCGGGCTGAATGTTCTGGAGCCCGTCCCTTATTGAGTCATATCCCGAACAGGCGTCTAGTTAAGATAGGAGACCACACTAACACCGGAACTTAATGTAATATTGTCTTCAAAATAAGAGCATGGAATTTCAAGGAATGTGAATTCATCCAGGGCAGCACGGTGGTTAGCACTGTCGCCTCACAGCAAGAGGGTTCCTGGTTCGATCCCGTTCTGTGTGAAGTTTGCATGTTCTCCCCATGTCAGCGTGGGTTTTCTCCAGGTACTCCATCTTCCTCCCACAGTCCAAAGACATGCAGATTGGGGATAGGTTAATTGGTGACTCTAAATTGTCCGTAGGTGTGAATGTGAGTGTGAATGGTTATTTGTCTCTACATGTCAGCCCTGCAATAGTATGGCGTCCTGTCCAGGGTGTACCCTGCCTCTCGCCCAATGTCAGCTGGGATAGGTCCCAGCCCCCCCGTGACCCTCAAGAGGATAAGTGGTTAGAAAATGGATGGATGAATTCATCCAACCCTCAACAGGCTGAAGGACCCTGCATCATATATGGCAATAATGCCAGGAGTATTTACATCAATTTACCTGCAGATGAGTAGACTACTTATTAAGCATTTTGTCTTTAAATAATGAGATAAAATGTTCAATATTAGTTTTCACATTATCACCTTAGAAACAACAGCATTTCACTTGTATTTGACAGTCATTGATAGTAAATGAATCACTGCAACCATGAGGAAAATAAGCTGCTGTGTCATTTTATACATTTGGATTCTACAATGAAAACTTATTTTTGCTTTGACACTTTGAGGTTATAGTTACATTTGTCTTTGTATTGTGACATAAGATTTTTCTTCTTATTAAAACATTATGATTTCTCCTCTTAAAAAACTCTTGGTATACCATAAATTGGTGTGTCTGTGTAATAACAATATTTATTTACAAAAAGATCCAGTGAAAGCATAAAGAGACACTTCTCACTGCGGATGTATTGATAGGAGGCACACTGCAGTTTTATTATAGTGCACTCTAAATAAACAAATGCACGTTAAACGTCCTATCAGCAGAGGCATAAATATGTGCCATAAATAGTGCAGGCTGTGCAGTTGTACTGGGGCCCATGAGGTGCGGGGGCCCATAGAAAGAGAATGGGCCCTCTAGCAATGTGTTGGGCCAAGAATGGGCCCCTATGATAGACTGTCACCTTGGAAATATGCTTGTGTTCAAAGATGAATTCTCATGTAATTAAAAAGTATGCCTTTTGCTATATATGGTCTGGAAAGAGGCAAATCCATCATCCATCTTATTAGAAATATGAAATGAGGATTGCTCTAAAATATATGTTGATGTTGTTCAGTGTCACGTCTGTTTGATCATGTGATGAGATGATATGTGCTCGGCAGTGTGCACTGGGGCCTATCATAACTATGCCACTGCTTATCAGGGAAGTGGTGCGAAGTGTATTTCTAACACAACAGAGGTGATGACATAGGCACAGAACTGACTGTGAAAGATGTCAACAAACCAGGTGTATAGCAATAGCCTACAATATCATTTCTATAAATATTTCAGCTCAGTTAATGAGGTTTATGTGCTGAAAAGATCCTAAAGGTAGCATTTACAGGAATAGTGTCTATGCATACACAATGAGGAAGCCTGCTGTGCAGCCCATTTAAAGACTTATCCATCTGCTAGGCTTAATGATAATGGCACATCACTCTCTCACCAAATGTCTCACCAAAGCCTTGTAAATGAGTTTTTGGCTCCAGGTTATTTTTCCACAGACTTTTACTGGATCCTTTACTTACTAGAACAGCATATCAAAGTTAATGACATAACAACATACTGCCTTACTGTAATTACACTTCTGGACATATTTGACTTATTTAATTATGTTAACTTCCTATTTAGATTTTCAAGTTTTTAACTAAATGAAGAAGTTATATGAAAGAAATTCCTTTTGGAATCATTAACTCTCTGTGGTACCGTGTTGCCTCTAGGTAACATGCCCATTTTTGGCTGTTTACACCCACACAATACATCCACAATTATGTTGCAATACAGGGCCTTAAGGAAACCAGGAGCACTGTTTATATTGCAACATAACTTTCTGGGGGCTTTAAGTTTCTTTTTGGAGCCCTCCTTGCATGGTTCAGCTCCATCAACTTTATCCACAAAATTGGTCTGAAAATGTCTTTTTCTGTCATTTTACAATCTGGAAAAAAAATCTGATTTTCAAAAATAGACAAGTAAAGTTTAATTTTGTATTGTTAAATGAACTGTATTTATGTAAGTAATTGAATATAGTTGAAATGTTGCCTTGAAGCAACACTGTACGTTTATGGAATCCCACTATGACAGATTTTGTTTTTGTGTATTTAGGTTGATACTCTTCAAATTCATATCAGTCATCACAATTCTCTTTTTATGTCTATAGATTAACTTAGATATGTTTATCAATGTTAGGCTCACACAACAAATGGTGATGACATCCAGTCTGTCAGGAAAGACATACATCAGGAAACTAAATACAGCACATAGGGACTTGGGTTGGGAACCAGTAGGTCACTGGTTCAAGCTCCGAAATGTGGAGCATGGTCTGGCAGTTGGAGAGTTGCCAGTTTGCCTCTTGGACACTGCCAAGGTGCCTTAGAGCAAGGCACTGAACCCCCAACTGCTAGGGGCGCCTGTCCAAGCTATGTCCCCATTTAGTGCATAGGTCCTGTTTGTGCATGTGTGTATTTCAGGCCTGTGTGTAGATGACAGCAGAGCAAAAAACTGAATTTCCCCACAAGGATTAATAAAGTATTTTGTCTTCTTCCTCATTTATTCACTTAGTAGTCAGAGTAGTTAACATCTAAATATAGTTTATCATATAAACTATTAAATTCAATAGTTTATAATCAGTTAAAAATACCCACCATGTCTAAGTGTTGAAACTAGCCTACTTCAAGCTAATATAGAAACTGTTACCTCCACTGTGACACATGACATGCATTTATTTTGAAGGCTTGACCTAACTTCCTCTACACTCCGGTTGTATTGTTTGTAACTGACGCATCCAGCTTCAGTCTATCCAGGTTCGACCCTCCTGCCAAGCGACCGTCTGTTCCTGCGGGGGTTTTATTTGTCTGGATTTTCTTGCTAAAGCCCAAATATTTTTTTATTTGATCACTTATTTAAGGATTTATTCTGTTATTTACTGATCAAGATGGGCTGCGCTGGATTCACCTGTTCCAAACAATCCCTGTGCGCGCTCAACATCCTCTATGTTGTGAGTACCCACAACTGCAGAATGTACCATATGGATCATTATACTGCCGCTTTTATCAATAGACACAGTGTTTTATCCGTCCTGTAGATACAATGAAGGAAACGTCTTACTGTAAACGGCACACTGATGCGGTCAGACGCTGCTTTAATGAATTATTCACAGTGATATTACACACTAAGTGTACCCATCATTACAAATGATTCAGAAAGAACACCGTCTTAAAAAACAGCCTGTTGTCTTTTTTTGTGGGCCTATTGTCCAATCCAGCTTTTAAGCTTCAAATGTTATTTCTTCCCGTCGCAGTTTATGGCATTGCAGAGGACGTCCTGTCTTTGTGTGTTTGCCTGCAACCTCAGATAGCTCATCGCTCCTTTCTCAGCCTTAACTATAGGTGGGTGTATGACTGCTGCAGGTTCCAACACAATTCTACTATTTTATCATAATACAAAATCTCTCCCTGGATATGGATCCTTGCAATCATTTTAGAGGGTCACTCCGCCGATTTTATAGGTGGAGACTACTACTGAACCTGTAAAAACAGTTGTATTATGTTTTCTGCTGATTTGGAGATTTGAATGGAAAATAATTGATGATGTCATAATGATGTAATTGGTGTTATCAGTCTGCAGCAACTTCTTGAAAGCCTAATACCAAAGCAATACTAAACTGCTATAGTGTCATAATACAGGATAAGTTCACATTTTTTCAAGTACTTATATGCTCATATGGGCATTAATAGAGTTACTGGCTGCTGTAATTATTCCATACAGGCCGTGAAGAGATCCCCTCTTAAAGCACTATCAATGCCAGAGATGGAGGATACAATCCACAGATCTCCTTTTATGCAAAAATGCTTTGTAAAGTTAGTTGAAGCTAATGTGGGATTTCCAATATTTTTGCAAGCTGCTGTCTTTTTATTACAATGTTCTTTCTCGTGTTACCATCTCTCCATTGCAGCTGAGCAAGACAACATTGTCAGGAGAAACACAAAGAGGGCATTTTGTGTTAAAAATAATCTATATTTATGTAATGATAGCATTAACTCAACTTAAAATGGTGTCAGCCTGAGGACAAAGTCCTACACAGATCAGTTTTTGAAAGCCTGCACCTGCCCATACCTGTAAAGCTCATTCATTATCAATTCATTCATTAGTCATTAGCCCCTTTTACACCGCAGGAACTTTTATCATTTATCCGGGATTTTGGAAAACCTCTGCACGTTTCCACCAAAATTACCAGCGGAAAAAACTATCCCTCAACATCAAACTTTCCCTGAAAAAAGTACCTTTGCTGTTTGCTGAAGAACGCTGATTGGTGGAACACACACACTTGCAGCATTCCGCACTTCCTGGCACGGACAGCTGTTGCAAACTTTATTTCATTTCTACAAGCTTCACTTCGTTTGTATTTTGATTAAGGATGGATACCTAAACCAGGTACTTAATTAGCCCTGTGGCTAAATTATCAAAGACCTAGTATTGATAAGCGCTAACAGTATCGGTTCTTTTGTGCTGAACTCCTGCACATACACTCACATCCACACACACACATGCCTACACAACAGGGTAACCGGTGAACAGCCGAGCGGAAAACAAAGTGAGGGTAACTCACACTCTCATAAGTTGACGGCAGCTACACTCGTTACTGTAAGTGACATTAAACCTTAGTGAGTAAGAAGCCAATACTTTATCAATACATGTGTTCAGCAAGCATGAACATGTAAACATGCAGACAGTGATATTCAATATGCTCCCCAGTCTCTCATCCACTGACACTAACGTTATGTCTTACACAAGGACAACACACTAGTTCGGCTGATAGCGAATTGTTACTAATAAGCTCAAATGACAGCTGTCTGTATGTAGACTAACTTAGTTTGACACTTATCTTAAAATGCTTTTTAACTTAGCTGCTGGCTGAGACAAACAGCCCTAACTCTCTACACCAGCATGTAACCAGCCAAGCTGGCAGAGCCAAATACAGGGCACAAGCCGAATCATCTACGTCATCAGCCTGATTTGAATAAATTTTCCTAAACTTTAAGGTGCGGTGGAAACGCAAACCACAGATTACCAGGAATTCTTTCACCCAGGTACATAAATTCCTGGTAATAAAAGTTCCTGGAAATGTTGGTGGAAAGGGGGCTATTAAATCTAAGTCAAAGCCACACCCGCCCACACCCATTTATATAAGGCCCGCAACCCGACCTGCACCCCTGATGATGCCGGGATGGCGAGAACATTCAATCACTGTCACATTAGGAAACATTTTAGCATGCCCCTTCCCCCACCATAGTATCTCAAAAGGATCCTCCTTGGGTGTCTTTAGGCCCGTTTTCACTGAATAAGTTCCTGGTACTATTTGGGGGGTAGGAACTACTACAGGAACGTCCTCTCGTTCGGCCCTCTCAACCGCCGTGTCTCCACTGAGAGAGCAGAGTACGAGGAGGGTTCCTGTAAAGTTACGGGCTCTGGATGTGACGTAATCGTTGCGCGACCATTTACCGGGGCGACGTAGGGACGCCGTTAGCTGATAGCCTTTAGCGGTGTCTGTAATAACTCACTAAATAGCCCGTGAAAAAAATATTTTTCCAGCGGATGTCTTAGTTACAACATGATTGAGCTAACTGGAGTAGATTTCCCAAAACTGAATAAATACCACACATAGCAACACAAAACTGCTTTGCTAGCTCAATCATGTTGTAACTAAGATATCCGCTGGAAAGAATATTTTTTTCACGGGCCATTTAGTGAGTTTTTTTTACATGGTGGAGGAAGCTATATGAACGAGCTAATTCTCATCTGCTGAGTTTTAAAAATGCTTTTGCTTTCTGTTGTCGTCACATCCCTCCTTGAGTATATCCATTCAGCACCAAGTAATCCCCAAGCCCCAGCCGGGAGTCTTTCGGGGCCGTTCTGAGTACCTACCCCGAGGCAGGGACTTGTTTAGCCCCTGTAAAAGTTCCGGAACTCTGTCCTTCGGGGGTGGTTCCTGTGGTGGAGACACGCACCAACGGCCCCGCCCCGTAAAATTACCCCGAAGTTCCTGCGGTGGAAACGGGCCTTTTAATCAACGTAGGCTGCCACCTTAGTGTTGCCAGATGGGAAATGAAGGAATATTGTACTGTCGCTTTAAAATTATTGGATTTTGACCCAAACTATCATATGTACTAAAACAACTTGAAAAATCACACGCTACGACAGTGCATTTAAAAACGAAGTTATTCTATGTGCATGAAACTGCAATAACCCAAGGAATAAACACAGAGGCTCTGCCATTTAAATGAAACAGCTGCTTTATTCATTGTCACACTTAAACACACCCACACACCCAGTCAATTGCACCTCTTTGCACAGCCACTGCTTCTGTGCTCAACTATCAAAATAAAAACATCAGAACTACAAACTACATGCAGAACTACCTCAACAGGAGTAATTGAACTTTAACATTCAATTCGTTACACATGATTAGTACCACTAGTAATAATTAGGGATAGTGCCTTGCACGGGCCTCTTATCTGGGCCTGGGCCCGACCCTGGCCCGAGGGGGTGGAGCCCCAGCCTGGCCCGGCCCGACAGGTTTTCAGAATTCTCATGCCCAAACCCGAAAAAAAGCCCAACTGTTGCTGCGCACTGTTGCAGTTGCATTGCGCACAGTCACTTCAAAAAACAAAATAATCAATTAAACAGCCCCGAAAATGCTTCAAACACTTTTCTAAATAATCTTAATATTGAAAGGAAATGAAATATACCCACTTATGCCATTAAAAGTGCTTAGATAAGGTTGGAGGTCTATAACTGCACATATAGACCTCCAACCTTATCTGGGTATATTTCGTGACTGTGCGTGATGCAACTGCAGCACCTGATATTGCAAATTGTTGGTGGCAGGTCTATTAACAAATAAACACGTTTATCCAAGCCTAAGCTACAAACACGAACAAAACAAACCTTATCACAATGTTTATGAATGGGATCAGTAAAATATTGTAGCAACCCTGCAGTGGATGTTCTGTTGTAATGTCAATGTTCTGTGGGCAGGGTGCGAGAGTGACGAGGATGAGGGCTGTGTGAGTGTGCGTGCTTGTGTGTGTAGAGCGAGCTGGAGGAGAGAGCAGCAGTGCATGGTTCGAGTTAACGTTACAGCTAAGTCCTTGTTTTGTGGTTGTTTTGGCGTGGTTACGGCCAACAGTAACCTGTACTGTTCAGTAACAAATGGTGGTTTGCTGAATAACCGCGTCATCCTTCCACACGTCCTGGCGGACGCTACAATATGATGAGTGACGTGTAGCGGAGAGGGAGAGGCATAGCGGCTGCTGCGTTCAAGTGTTGCCGTTTAAATTGGTTAAACACAAACACACACCTCTCTAATTGGCATGTTAAAAAAAAAGCCTGAGCCCGGCCCGTGTCCGAGGTAATGATGTGGTAATTGGCCCGAAGCCTGGCCCTCGGGCTGTCGGGCCGTTGGGCCCCCGGGCCTCGGGCTCCAGCGCAGGGCTCTAATTAGGGATGCACCGATACCAATACTGGCATCGGGTATCGGGCTGATAAGACTGGCGGCAATAGCAAGCACACATCATGTCAGCAGTGTGGACATATTTCAAGATAAGGGACGACGACAGAAGCGGGGCAGACTGCAAGTTATGTGCTGCTAAGGTGTCCAGGGGAGGAAAGGGGAGTACGTCGTTTAATACCAACAACTTGATAAAACATCTGAAGACCCATCATAACCCTAAGTACACAGAGTTTCTGAAAAGCGAGCAAAAATGGCAAGAGACAATCCACGGGCAGTTAAAATAACAGAGGCTCTAACTCATTTTATTGCTCTGGATGACCAGCCACTGTCGGTCATAGATGATGTGGGATATAGCCATCTACTCAGCACACTTGAGCCACGTTATGAGATTCCTAGCCTCCCCTACATCATGGATGTTTTGCTGCTAAAAGTGTTTGAGGAGGCAAAAAAACACGTTAGCGGCCTGGTGCATGGAGTTTCAGCCTTCAGTTTTACAACAGACATTTGGACGAGCAGTGTCTGCCCAATGTCTTGATTGATGCGCAGTTCACTCGCCATCAAGTCACACTACATGCAAAGCTGTTCCGGACTCACACACCAGCCAAGCCTTCGCAGATGCTTTCGATAGCATGCTTCAGACCTGGGGTATTCCAAAGACGTCTGTCCACGTAGTGCTCCGAGACAACGCAAGAAATATGATAAAGTCCATGAATGAATGGCCTTTGATTTAAATAGCCTCCAGTGGTTTGTGTGTCTCTATTGGTATTTACAATGCCTTTTTGGATCCCTTTAAGGTTCTTAATTGCAACAGTTAAATTACCCAGCCCTTCGGATTCAGATGGAAGATATGTGCAACATCCCTCTCCCATTATGACG